TATGCAATAAATGTTCAATTTGTTTCCAGAAATGACGGGAAATAATAACGTCAAAATTTAAAGCCATCCATTATAGCTAAACAATGCTCAGGCATATAGGTGCTCCAACACAGAGATCTTTGATTAATTCACATTTAGATTGCGGTTGATAAAGCAATAACGTTATCATCCTGGCAAACCAATCCTGGCAGTATTATAAGTTTAAGATATAGGCTACTAATGTAACTGTATAATTGATCAAGCTGATATGGATTATTTTAAAAATCTTTATATGTTGTCCATTTGGAGACTGGTAACTCCAGGGGGTCATTTGAAAAAACTGCTGTAACATCACACACCTCAGTGAAAAAAATGTTTTTTTAGCAGAAATAATCCAAATTCAACGTTATGTGTTTTTCTTTTTTTAATTTCTGCATGCATCCAAAATCATATTTCAGCTAAACAGGTAATATTCAGTTTAACAAAGGAGACAGCCTGTATAATCTGATGCTTTTCATTTCAAGTGTACAAAACATACAGATGAAACAGTTCATAAACAACATAAAAGCATGTATTATAAAATTAAATCACCAACCAGCTACTTTGGTGGATATTTATTGATGTAATTTCAATTAAATAATTTTGATTTTAAATGCATTGTAAATTAAATATTTACAACGCAAAAAACAAATTTGTTTGAAACTGAATTAAGCACCGTTAAAAAGAGAACATTTATTTAAGATAACATCTTATTTTAGTTATTGCAAAAGGACTTGAAACATACTAAAGAACAATGACCATTAAGATATATAGGCCATCCATATACATACACATATATATATATATATATATATAAAGAAGAGTATATGTATGGTATTTACTGACTGAATCTTTGTATGGTCTTTATTTGGAGCTGTCCTTTCAGAACCATACCTAGATTTTCAGTCTGCAGGTACAGACAAAGATATTTAGGGTCTCGGATCACACAAAGTGCATTAAGTTAGCTGATCCCTCTCAAACCATATGATTAATTCACTCCCATTCAGACCCTAGCAAGCAAGGAGTGGAGGGACGTGACCAATGACATAATAGGCTCTGTCAAACAGCCCCGCAAAACGCCCAGACCATTTGTGGTGACAATCCTGATGCCATCAGTTCCATTATGGGGCCCCATTGAAGTCACAAACAAACATAGCTTTAGTGTGCAAAAGGGAAAAAACACAGCTTTTAGGCGGAGCCCCCTTTCTCTGTGTGTCACTCGGCGCAGAAGTTCGGGGAGGCCATCAGATATCGTCTGATTAATCACTAAGCAATGAGCTGTTATCAAAAGAAAACCAACATCAGCGGACATATCCCTTCTACATTATCTAGAGTAGGCCTACACTAAGAAATATTTTTTTTTTCTTTTCAATTTTATTTCATTGCATCACTATTGTTGCTTCAATTTATATCATACCGCAATAGAAATATACTTTTTTTTTAAATTTTATTTTATTGTATCACCATTCTTGAAATACTTTTTTATCGTTTATATATATATATATATATATATATATATATATATATATATATATATATATATATATATATATATATATATATATATTAAAGAAATGGTTCAGGTGTTTGGGATAAAGCTACAATAAAATAAAAATAATAATACAACACTGCCTTAGACAAGAAAAAAAGGACTTCAGGGACACAACTGAAGCCATCTCCATGAAGATGTTTTCTGTGCGGCAAAGGTAGAGAGGGTTCTGCGCCCTTTATAAGTGCGCAAATTCTGGTGCGTCATTTACGATAGTTTAGATTTTTCCCGCGCCGTAGACTGGGCGACCTTTTTCTTTTTTTCTTTTTTTTTTTATCATTAATCTATTCAGTTGTGGAACTACAACGAAACATATGTCAATAATAATAATAATAATAATAATAATAAATATATATATTATTAAATTATTATTATTATTATTATTATTATTATTATTATTATTATTATTATTATTATTATTATTATTATTATAAGAAGGATAATTCTTATTATTATTACTCCAAATCTATGTGTTACAGTCTAAATTATGAAAACGATTATTGAATGTGGATCATTTTTGTTCCTGATCTTTTAGATTTGAATTTTGATGGTTTAAGTAACGCTAAACCAATTCGTGCAGATCAAAGCGCGCCTTTCTCCTCTATTTTACCACGGTATAAATGAGCACAGAAACACGGCTTTGATGGTGCAACAAAAAGAAAAAGAAAAAAAAAAGAAGTGAAAAAGCGGTTGACGACCAGCCTTTCGGGGAAAATTCACCGTGTCCTTCCCTTCATCCCCATCGAACGCACTAGTTTGTTCCCATTTCCACCTCCTTCCACACCCTGTTTGTTTTTAGCCATGATGCTGAGATAAAGACATTGTTTATAAGGTATTATCCAGTGTGCCACCAGTCTCTCTGCACCGTATCATGAAAATGAATAAAACGAAGTGAAAGAAAGAAAGAAACATTCGATTTTTTTGCAATTTGTTTTATCAATTTGTTGATAGACTGTTACAGAGTTATACTAAAAACTATTAATCATTTTACATTTTTAAAGGTTTTATCAAATAGTATCGAGCATTTTTAATTCTGCGTAATTTTCACCCATGTTGAATAAGGCCCTTTTTTATTTTTCCTCTCCCTTAAATACATTCAATTATTTCGTTATATTGTAAAGCCATATAAACTATAATCTAAATTTGTGAATAAAATACTTCAAGAACTTACATGCAGGGTTTTTTTTTTCTTCAAGTTTTACCTATAAATACCCTACAAATAATAAGGCAATAAATGCATGTGTTTTAATCTGCGTTTTTTTTTTTTATGAATTATAAAACAGGAAAATCTTACACTATAAGCTCAACGAATAATTTATCATAGTTGCCCGGTTTAGATAGCTCACTTAGATTAAAGTCATGCAATTAAAAATGAGTTAGTCCGGGGATTATGTAACATTAACCATCATTTATGAGAATCTTAGACAGATTTATTTGTCATTTTGTTTACACAAGTGTACAACAAAAAGAAATTTCGTTTAGAACAGCTCTCTAGACAATTTCATTTCTTCTTAAATGCAGCCTTAAAAAAAAGTAAAAAAATAAATAAATATATATATATATCTTTAATAGAATCGGCTCCACATTTTTGGAATGTAATGGAAATAATTAATGAAGTAATTGGAAATCTTAAAAAATCAGGGAATATTTATGTACTTATGGTATACGCTATGTTTTTTTTTTGTTGTTGTTTTTTTCACCTGCTGATTCTAGTGTCGTAAACATCCATAAGGTTATTCAGTTTGCGGCATATTCTTTGAGTTTTCCCTATGGAGCTGCATCAAATTAAAACTCGGAGAGGAAAAAGTCTAATTTAAATTCTCACCTTGAGCTCTCTAGTGACTGTTACCAGTCTGAAAGGAGCGGACGCTCTAAAAAAAACCAACACCTATATGATCGTCTCCGAGATCTATTGCACTACAGTATATTATATTTTTAAGGGGGAACCCTTTTTTGCAGCAGCAGGCAAACAGAAGTATCAATTGAACAAAAAATGCATGCAAAGCAGGCCGGGCGCCGAGGCTTTACTTACTCTGTGCGCTGCGCTGAGCTGAGTCTCCGCTGTTTAATTACAACCCCTAATTTCCCCAATCGGAGATAGTGTCAAAAACCTGCGACTATTTCTCAGAGATTCCCTTTAACAAGTGGAAACTTTGTGTCCTCCTGCACCATTTTATACATGATGAGCCGGCAGTAATGGGATTATTAAACAAAAACGTTTCAGGCGCTGGCGTTAACCTTTTTTAATGCCTAATTAGGTTTTGCAAAGAAATAATTAGATTCTACAGTGCTTACACTGCCTATATTTTCAAATGGCATCTGCAGCAAACACATCATCCAGCGACACTGCTGCCAATAATCGTCGGACATATGCCTCTCGGAATCGGTCAGATGTAAGATTTTAAACATGTTTCGAGCAAATAAGTGCACTTAAAGCTAAAATAATTTCCTGAACGACCACGGGCCGAGTTTCTGTAGGAGCATATCTTGGCCAACTGCGCCCCCTGGTGGTCTTTATTTGAACAGCGACACAATGAAAACAATAGAAGGAATTTTACATGAAATAACATTCATGGATTTTAAATATACTATGTAGTATCGTTTGTTGTAAATTATAAACGTATAATATCTTCATTATTTATTTTGGGAAGATAGTGGAGTAATCGTAGAGCTGAAATTAGGGTGGGGGTGTTGGCGCATGCGCAATCTTGAGTTCGCAAACGTCATGCAGGTTTTTCTTTGCAATAGTCCTCAGAGCAAATGCAATGCTCTTAAAAAAACAATATTTCATTTGACATTGCAGAACTGTTTCTTTTTACAAAGAACACTTACATGTGATCATTAATATTATGATAGATTGTAATCCCAAAATATCTTAGAAAAAATATCACAATATATTGCTATAAAAATAATAGCAAATACCGAAACAATGTGACCAGAAACAAAACAAGGTCACCACTGCTTAAATTTAAAATATATATATATATATATTACTAAAAATGTTAATAATGTTAATTATTATATAGTGTGAAATACATTTTCAACAACCTGTTTATTGAAGGGACCTACAGCAGAAGACGATCTCCTTATTTTTTAATGACCAAGGGGTTTGATAAGAAGCATTACATTGCTTATTTGTGAGATTAGTTACTGAAAAAATAAAAAATGTAATTAAATTCTAATACCTGGTGGACATTGCTGAAGCAAGTAGAACTATAGGTTTCTGGTTGACTAGTTTCTATAGTAAGATACTTTTTTAATGCTCTGATATAACATTCTTATTTATATTTTAACAAAATTAATGAAGTGTGTTTCTCTTCTAAGTTATATCTGATCGGATTGACAATTTAGTCCACGCCTAAAAATTCCACCACTAGAGGGCGTGTGTTCTGCTTGGTCCTGGAACTTTCCCTGAACTATCGCGAGAGGTGATCTATCCTCTCAGAAGGTCAGCTGACCATTTCCTGCATACTGTAGTGACCCGGTGAGCTGCATGACACGGGGATATTCGACGCTGTGACGCCCTTTATTATATTTACATGTAAGATCACAAATATTTTTGTTAACCTCTCTCGAGATGTGTGTGAACAGCCGCCTAGAATAGTGAGAGTAACGGGACTGCAGGTGGTAAGAAGGTGCTAAGTGGCTAACGTTAGCTAGGATGGGAACAGAATATTCTAGACCACCGTGTGCTGCTATTACGGGCTAAATTGCTTTTTGACGTTTTTGAGAATTTAAAACTAGAAATATTTAAGTGTTATTATTATTTTGTTTGCATATTTCTACCATTATTCTTGTTATTAATGGCCAGGCTCGCCAGTTAGCTCGATAACTCCTCATTAGCTTGTTCTACGGATAAATAAGATGTAATTATCAATGATTAGTCTTTGTGATGGTGTCAAAACCAGCTTCCATTTTCAGTACACTTCTAAAACATCTATGTTCACCGTTACATGTGATTAATCTTATAATATTATACTTTCCTGGTGTGAGGCACAGTTTACAATGAAAGTGGCCATTTTTGATGAACATTGACAATTTAAGGAAAGCAAATTCGAAGACTCTGGTCATTTTAAGAGATTAACTCAGAGGAAGAATTATAATTTATGGGACGCTTTGGTTCTTTTGCTGAACCATTTTCAGTGATTGATTCCCAAGGGCTTTCTGGCTGTTAATGTTTTATTTATTTAATTTTTAACAGAGCGACTTCTAAGTGAAAGATGGCTGATAATAACCAAGGAACCCCTCCTCCCCAGCTTGGGCCTTTGGTAAGTTGCTTGGTTAGTCCTAATCTCAGTTTAAAATCTTACAGATTGACTTGGGCTGGTTTGAATAGGTCTGATACTGCGATCAAAAACTGTTCATGGCAAAACAATTGGATAATTTTGAAAGAGCATTGAGAAAATTTAATTTGCCCCCTGGTATGTGAAAGAAAATTAAGTTGAAAGTGCTTTAAATTAAGTTCTAGTTATTAATCAACCACACATGCATTTTGAAATTAAGTGCATTTTAACATAATTAGCAAAATCCTTGGTTATTTTAAGGTCTCTCGATATACATAAAAAAAAAAAACAAGAAAATTTGTGTTGAAAGACCCAAACGATTGCATCATTCCAGAAGATGATTGAGGATTTATAAAAGGTTGATTTAAAATCCATGGATATGTAAAGAATATCTGGGATTTTTGCTTTGTTTTAATGTAGACTCCACCAAATTTCCGTCTTTTTCATGTTCAAAGTATGTTGGTATTGGGCGGCAGTTAAAACCAGCCAGAACATCCGGCATGTGAGAGTGGAGTCCATCTCTTTTTGTGTCAATCTCTTGTTCAAACCCTAAAAGCTGTTATCACTGCTGCACTTTGAGAAAATGGAAATGTCTTGAGAGCTGTACAGAAGGAAATGACAAAGTTTGTCTAAATCTAAGAAAATCCCACCAAACCCTGATCTTCACAAAGCTAAATTTTGGTTCTCCTTCTGTATTGATGTCAATCATGGAAGGATGCAATCACCACTCCCGTCTCTTATTATACCAAAAGGGAAGATTCCAGCAATCAGGAACTCAGCCTGCAGACAGTCAGTAGGTGTTGCTATGGCTAAGGAACCATAGCAACCTACAGATGTTGCTAAGGTTAAATCAATATCATCATGTATACACAGACATCACATTTTACTCTTAAAAAAGGGGAAATGAAATGTTAAATATTAAAAATTAATCTAAAAATGATTTCATAAGAAGCGTATGCGTTAGATGCCAGGCTATGAGGCATTTAAGTTTAAAATCAATTCTCTGTTTACATTAAAATCTGAAAAAGTGTTACCAACATCTGCAATCCTCACAACCGACTTAATAGTTAATTTTTAATATTGCCGTAAAACTTTTTAATGAACAATGGATTTTGATGACTTTAACTTTAAATAGTCCTTAGTGTCAGAAAATTGTATATTCACTGAAAACAAAAGCAGCGTCATTGTGGTATAAAATAAAATATAATATTATCTAACCTTTGGTAAACAAATTACTCGGTTGTTTTGTTGAACTTGAAGAAGATGTTAGCCAAGTGGCTTAACTCGGACTCCAGCAAATAAAGTGTAACATCCCCAATGTAGTAATAATTAAATAAATCTTGTGTTACGTGTCTACTGGCTTTATTTTAATGTACATTTAATCCTTTTGATTAACATCAGTTACATCAACCTGCAAAAAAATAAAGCTCGAAGTTAGTCATTTTTACATTACTTTGAAAGCAGTAAAGATGTTGCTGGAAAAATAAACTACCTCTTGGATTAGGTAATATTTTTTTTATTTTTTTTTGTCTCTTTTAGGTTCTCTCACCTACAATATGGAAAACTTTAATGTTTCACATATAACACCTTATTCATTCCTTGGTATGCATACATGTTTATTTAAAAATCCTTCATTTGTTTATTACAAACAGCAATTTTTAATGAGCAACAAGCTGGAGACTGCAATGTGGCTTTCACGTCTTTTCACGGTCTACTGCTCCGTAATGTTTATTCTGCCAATACTAGGGTGAGTTTACATTTTTCCTCTATACAGTTCAACAGTTTAAGGGCCAATCAAGCATTAATAAACTTTGGCTTAACGTTGTTTCTTTTGTGTTTTCAGACCTCATGCAGCAGCAAACTTCTATCAGAGAGCCTTGTTAGCAAATGCCCTCACCAGTGCACTTCGGCTACACCAGAGACTCCCACGCTTTCAGCTGAGCAGAGCTTTTTTGGCCCAAGCTCTGCAGGAGGACAGCTGTCATTACCTGCTGTACTCTCTCATCCTGGTCAACTCTTATCCCATCACAAGTATCCTTTGATTTAAATGCAACAGACTTAAATTAGCAAATTATCTAAAGGTGCTGGTTTAAGAAACAATTTTACTTTTTTTTTTTTTTTTTTTTTTGCAGCAGCAGCAGCAGAACAAACTGTGTTAACATATCATATGACTATATTTAGTTGGTCACACATTGTTTTAATGCAGCCATGTTTTTTTCTCAAAATCCTTTCAACATAGCATTGCTATTTAATCTGAAGAGCTTTTCTTTGGTCCTTAACATTCGTGTTCAGTGAGCATTTTCCCAGTTTTCCTATTTTCTTTGCTTCATGCAACCACCTACACAAAGAAAGTTCTTGATGTGAGTATACATCGTTAATACTAGAATGTCTAAAAAAGGTCATTAGAAGCAGACAGTTTTAATTATCTGTCTGATAAAGCAGCTGTCGCCTGGAGACACTATTTCTAACCATATATAAACGTAATAAATAGAAATGTGCTTGGTTTTATTTTAGTTTATTTCTGTTCCTCAATAAAAAGCATTTTTAGCACAGTGTTGTCATCAGTAATTGACTTCTTCTTTTTTTTTCTCTGTAACAACAGTCAATGGGACCAGGCAGCCTAATGTTCATCAGAAACCTCCTCGACCGACTAACAGCCAACCAGCAGAACATCCTGAAGTTTATCGCCTGTAATGAGATCTTCTTAATGCCAGCTACTGTTTTCATGCTCTTCAGGTAATACTAAAACTAATGGTGCTTTTTGTTTCCATATTACATATAATCTGTCTGATTGTATTTCATTATACAGTTAGGTTAGTGGTGCAACAATGAGATACTGGATAGCTATTTGTTTTACACAGACTTTAGTCATTTATGAATTCTCTTTACGAACCATGTCAGTATCCTTTCCAGCTTTAATGCTGAGTCATGAACTAGATCTATGACGCTGTTTTCATGAAAAGCAGTTTTTCTGTAAAACTGAAATAGAAATTATAATAGAACTTGATTGATCTCACAATGGAGAAATTAACTGTCTGCATTTAACCCATCGCCTTAGGGAGCAGTCTGCCTGAGTTTCACTAGTTAGCTATAAGGGGTCATTTTTAGTTGTAGTTTTAGATAATTATAATAATTGCTTAGCACCACTACTAATTGAAAACTTTGATCTTTATGCATATTGTCTAAAAAAAAAAAGTTGACCTGCAATTTGAGTGAGCTATAGATAACGTTTCACCAGTTCCAAAGATGGCATTTCTTTAGAAAAAGTGTTTCCCTTGAATACATTCAGCTTAATGTTATCTGCTGAGGTTCATTTGACTCTTTCACCGTTTTAATGAGACGTCCCTAAAGCAGGGAGGAGGAAATGGCTTTTGCCATCTTGAATAGGAATGAAATGCCTAACACCAGCCTAACCCTTAGGACGATTCACACAGATTCATTCATGTGCATATTATGTTCTCCGTTATTAAAAGAAGCCAGTATAGTTGATGCAGTAATTCTCCCTGGTGCTGCAGCAGGACGGAAAGCTGTCCTTTATCAAATACTAAAATGCTATTAAAAGTCTATCCAAATTACCATGGCAACAGTGCTGTCAGGCTGTCACAGAAAGACATTGTCAACACACCTTGAGGGTGACCAACATTTTATTGAATGACTTTATTAAATCTCTAAAGAAACTGTCTAAAAAATAAAATGTCTATCAGCTAAAACCCATCTTCTTCTACAATGTTTCTATGAAGTCCAAAAGGCGCAGTCAAGCTGCAGCACTGAGCTTAGTTACTTCTTAATGAGCATAATGTTGTACAAATCAGTATTAACATGCAACACTATCAACACTATTCAGATATGTGAAGTTGGCTACACTTAATATTTAAATCAATGAAGTAACTATAAAATACCTTCAAGCCACGTCTCCAACAGAGGTTGAAGTCCGTTCCCAATGATACTAATCATTACAGATGCTGTTAGAGAATCATGTGCTGCAGGTTTTCTGTTCATAGACATGCTGTGTACATGAAGCCTCAGAAGAAAGGGGCAGGAAATCCGACACAGGACGAATAAAATGAATCTGGTATATTTCTAGTGAATGTAACATGCCTAAAAAAAGAAAAGAAAAAAAAACAGCAAATACATTGAAATTGCCTTTCACTGTTTTGTGCATTTTCTGTTTTTAAACACTTAAAGGTGCTGTAGGAGATGTTCCAGCAAGCTGTGTTTTCAACATGGTTTCGAAACCATGGTTTCGAAACCACGCTTTCAAAACACATGAACGCACATGCTGTCTGCAGCGTCTGAGCAGCTGAAGTAGCATGTCGCATGAAGCTGGCAGGGAGACAGACAGCACTGATGATGCAGAGCGCTATGATCATTCCTCTGAAAAAGTTTAACACCTAAATTAACTTAAAATGCCGAAATCTACTGGCAGAACATGTTCGCTTTTATTATCCTGGTGCCTGCAGTTTGGATTACGTACATAAAAAAGGCCTTCCTGCCGCCGCGGAAAACCATGGGTTCGGCTGCTGGGCTTCCTGTTCTGGTCCAGTCAAAAAAAAAAAAAAAAGTGTCCTCCTTTTCAGAAACCCTAATCTGGTCACCATAGGTGTGAACGTAGCATTTCAGTGGCCAGCTTCCAGCCATGGCATCCTGCATGAGCATTAGGGGGGCGATTTGTTCAGGTGTCAGGGTATGTGCACAGGGGGAATGGTCAAGCAGACGACCATGATTGACATGTGATGGAACCAGTCGTGTATAACTGACCGTCTTTTGTTATTGGTTCGGGTTATTTATCGATTTCTCACTGTAGCAGGGACCATTTTGTTTAGTTTCACTTGAAAAAATGCATCAGATAATATTTCCTACTGCAGCTTTAAGAGCAATGTCAGAAATCAGTCCTCAGGAGCTGATATCTTGTGAGTTTTTGTAAATTTTCAGGAAATCAGTTGTTCTGAAGTAGGGAAGCCTTCAAAACATGCAGGACATCTGCCCTTGCGGACTGACTTGGAAACCCTGATACTCAGGTTTTCATCCTTTAGTGACGGTGTCTTTGAGTGATATTTTTGCCCATTCATGCCCATTAGCAAATGCTAAAGTTGCTCCCTTTGTCTCTCTAACAGTGGTCAAGGAAGCTTGCTGCTACCTTTTATCTACTATCGATTCCTAACGCTGCGTTATACATCCAGAAGAAACCCATACTGCCGGTAAGTTGGTAAAAAAATATATGATGAATTTTCATTAATGTGTAAGATTTTGAATACATTTATTTGTTTACTTTATTGCAAACATCTGAATTCATGTTTTATACACTGTTTAACCATTACTAGTTTATTTAGAAGAATATTTGTTTTAAAATTGTTTGTTGAATTGTTCTTTCAGTTAACATTGTGTTATAATGATCATAAATGTGATGGGCGTAACATTTTTTATGTTCTATATTCACTGTTAAAAACAAAAGTTCATCATTTACCGGTAATAGTTTGGAGACTGTGACCTGACAGATTTCCATCACCACTAGGGGCTCCAGTGAGCATTTAAAGTTTAAATAAGACTAAGAAATTAAGAGCTTTAAATCTTCAACAAAGCTTTAGCAAAGCCTCATCCTCTCATAACTAGACATAGTCATGTATTATGGATGTAGAGGGAGGCTATTAATATTATCAGTGTGAGTGTAGGCTATACATTTGATTAAATTGACCAGATTTCTGAAAGTTACTTATGGTCTGAAATAAAATGTCCTCTGCTCATAGATGGATAGAAATTAGGAAAGGTGAAATTAGGAAACTGGGATAGTGATGGTTTCATTTATTTTTACATATTTATTAATATTCAAACAATGAAAATCAAATGTAAAAGCCAGGAATGTGCCTCTCCACACTGTTAGTATTTCAGTTCAATTATGTAAGATTAATAAAATGAATAAATCAATTAGGTTATTAATAGAAAACTAAAGCTGTGTCTCTGGGTTGGGGTGGAGGGTTTGTGGGTGTGTGGAGCAAGGCAAGGGTGGTTACCAGGGCTGTCCAGTTGTAAACAGGTTAGATAACCCCAAAATTAAACTGTTTGTCCATAAACAGCAATATAAGTGGTGCATGTGGCCTGCTGACTTAGCGACACCTTGTGGCAGCGGCATGTCACTGCAGCTGCCACAATGTGCCAGAGTTCCTGCCACTGAACTGCCAGCTTTGTGACTCCTTGTGACATTCACATGCCAGTGCTAGTCTGTGTGAGGTTCTTTTCCTTCTTGCCCTCTTCTGACTTCTTCCTGCTCTCTGCTTTACTTGTGTAATTATATTTTTCTTCCTTCTCTGCATCTGTTCTGTCCATCAGTGTTCCTGTTTTCCTTCACTCCTATCAATCTTCTTTTTATCATTCTTATCTTCTTTCTCTCTCCTCTTCTATCAAGCTTGACACTGTTGTAAAACAGAGACATAATATAATCACAATCCCTTCCAAAAACATTAGAATGCACATCATCTAAATGTACAAGTTGTTAGCATTGATGACATGATATTGATTTAATACAGTTTTGCATTAAAATCATTTAAGGGGGCATAGCAGGAGGTTCAATTATTAATCAAACAGGCTTATTTTTAACACTAGAAATCCCAAGGCTGTCATTTTGATGGTTCTGGGAATTTAAAGGGAAAGAACTTTATTTAAATTAATTATATGTTGGTCATGATCTTATTAGCTTTGTAACATTAAAAAAATTAGGATATTTTGATGGCAAAAATTAGTGTCAATGTACTAACAAGAAACACCAACTTTCCCGAATATATAAAGAAAAATAAGAAAAGTGCTTCTATAAGCAAGTCAGGAAAAACACACACATTTATTTTTGGTACAACATAACCTTAGAGGCATTAATGCTGATACTGGCCCTTTCATTTTTTAGTTTATAAACCTAAATATAATTGTTAAAGCTGAAGTCTAAGTTTTTAAAAATCACTTTTTTGTCATATTGGCTAAAACTGTCCCTATGCCCAGACAGCAGTACATGTGATAATGTAACCTGTGAAAAAAACTGCTTCAATTGGTACCGCCTACTGCCTGTATTTCAATCTGGAAAGAATAATTCGGGACGAGTCAAAACAACCAATCACAGCCAGAGGAGCGTCTGATGGAGTGTCAACCACAGCTCCCACACGCTAAATCCCGCCCCCCCCCTCTCACCGCTTAACCTGCCGCTGCCGCCCGGCTGCCGCAGTCAGGA